GACAGAGAGGGGGAAGCAGGCTCCCTGCTGAGCAGAGAACCCAATGTGGGGCTCGATCCCAGGACCCTGAGATCATGACCTGAGCCGAAGGCAGAGACTTAACCCACTGAGCCACCCAGGCACCCCTCAATAAATTCTTAATAAAATTGCAATCATAACAATAATCTTTTCCAACCACAATGGAATGAAATTAGAATTACAAGAAAAAAATCTGGAGAAAACAGACATGAAGACTAAACAGCATGTTACCAAATAAAAGGGTCAACTAAAATTAAAGAGGAAATAAAAATATACATTGAGACAAATGAAAATAGTCCTAAATCCTTGGAGATAGCAAAAGCATTTCTAACAGGGAAGTTTAGACCGACCTCAAGAAGAAAAATCTCAAAGAATTAAACTTTACACCTAAAGGAGCTAGAAAAACAGCAAAACCCAAAACTAGAAGGAGGGCAATAAGAAAGATTAGGCTGAAGAGACAAAAGAAAAGAAAAAAAAAAAAAAAGAAAGAAAAAACCAAAGATTAATAAAAACGGTTGATTCCTTGAAAAGATAAATTGACAAACATTTACCTGATCATATAAGAAAAGTAAATCAATAAAATCAGCAATGGAGAAGAAATAACCACCAATACCACAGAGATACAAAGGATCATAAGAGATTATAAAATATTAGATGGTAACAAATGGGAAAACTTTGAAGAAGTGGATAAATTCCTAGAAATGCATTTTTTCTTTAAAGGATTTATTTGAGAGAGAGAGAATAAACAGGGGGAGAAAGGAGGGAGAAGCAGACTCCCCACTGAGCAGGGAGCCTGATGCAGGGCTTGATCCCTAGATCTTGGGATCATGGCCTGAGCTGAAAGTAAATGCTTAACTGACTAAACCACCCAGGCATCCCAAAACATCATCTTCTAAAACTGAATCAGGAATAGAAAATTTGGACAATTATTAGTAATGATATTGAGTGAGTCAGTAATAAACTTCCCAAAGCACACACACACACCCTCTGGGATATCACTGAGCTACAAAAAAGGATTAATTCTTGCTATTTGAAACAACATGGAAGGACAAAGAGGGTACCATGCTAAGTGAAAGGAGTCAGGCAGAGAAAGACAGATATTACATGATTTCACTTATATATGGGATCTTAAAAATTATTATTTTTAAGAATTTTGCAATTATTAGTAATGATATTGAGTCAATAATAAACTCCTAAATGGCATCACAGGTGAATTCTACCAAATACTTGAAGAGTTAATGCCTACTATCCTCAAACTATTTAAAAAAAAAAAAAAAAAAAAACAGAAGAGGAAGGAAAACTCCCAAATACATTCTATGAAGCTAGCATTACTATGATACCAAACCAGACAAAGACTCCCCCCCCCAAAATAAATAAATAAACAAATACTACAGGCCAATATCTCTCATGAATATAGAAGCAGAAATCCTCGAAATACTAGCAAACTGAATTTAGCAATACATTTTAAAAAATCGTTCACCACAGTCAAGTGGGGTTTATTCAAAGGGCACAAAGGTGATTCAGTATTCACAAATCAAGGTGACAGATCCTGTTAACAAAGATAAATACTATATGATCATCTTAGTTGATACCAAAGAAGCATTTGATAAAATACAACATTCATTCATGATAAAAATTCTCCAAGTGGGTTGAGAGGGAACATATCTCAACATAATAAAGGTCATTTATGAAAAACCCACAGTTAATATCCTATTACATGGTGAAAAACAGAATTTTTCCTCTAAGACCAAAAGCAAGGCAAAGATGCCCATTATTACCACTTTTATTCAACATAGTACTGGAAGTCCCAGCTACAGCAATCAGACAAGAAAGTCAATAAAAGGCATCCAGATTGGTAAGAAAGAAGTAAAAGTATATTTCCAGATAACATGATACTATATATAGGAAATCCTAAAGACTCCATCAAAAATCTATTAGAATTGATAAATGAGTTCAGTAAAGTTGGAGGATATGAAATATACTGAAATTTTTGTGATTCATACTTGAATAATGAAGCAAGAGAAATGAGTCCCATTTATAATTGTTCCAAAATGAATAAGTACCCAGGAATAGATTTAACTAAGGAGGTGAGAGATTTACACTCTGATAACCATAAACACTGATGAAAGGAGTTGAAGACAAAACAAATGAAAAACTAGGCTATGTTCATGGATTGGAATATTATTCAAATGTCCATACTACTGAAAGCAATCTAGAGTCAGTGCAATCCCTATTAATACCAACAGCATTTTTCACAGAACTAGAACAAATAATCCTAAAATTTGTGTGGAACCACAAAAGACCTTGAATAGCCACAGCAATCTTGAGAAAGAACAAAGCTGGACATAGGACAATCCCAGCTTTCAAGATACACTACAAAGTGGTAGTAATCAAAACAGTAGGATACTGGTACATAAATAGACACATAGATCAATGGAATAGGACAGAGAGCCCAGAAGTGAACCTGTGCTTGTATGGCCAAATAATCTATTACAAAGAAGGCAAAAATATACTATGGGTGAAAAGATAGCCTTTCATTTATGGTGCTGGGAAAACTAGACAGATACATGCAAAAGAATGAAACTGGACCACTTTCTTACACCATAAATAAAAAAAAAAAMAACCCTCAAAATGGTTAGATTTAAACTTGAGACCTGAAACCATAAAAATCCTAGAAGAAAACTTTGACACAGGCCTTAGCAACCCTTCTCTAGATAGATCTCCTCAGGCAAGAAAAACAAAAACAAAAATAAACTATTGGGATTAACTAAAATAAAAAGCTTTTGCACAAAGGAAACCATCACCAAAACAGAATCACAACCTAATGAATGGGAGAAGATATTTGTAAATGATCTATCTCATAAAGGCTTAACATTTAAAATACATAAGGCCTATAACTCAATAACAAAAGAACAATCTGATTAAAAAATGGATAGAGAATCTGAATAGACATTTTTTTTTAACCAAAAAAGAGATACAGATGGCCAGCAGAATGAAAAGGTGTTCAACATCAATAATTATCAGGGAAATGGAAATCAAAGCCACAAGGAGCTTTCACCTCACATCAGAATGCCTTGTATCAAAAACAGAAAAAATAAGTGTTGGGGAACATGTGGAGAAAGGGAAACTTCATACACTGTTGCTGGGGATGCAGGTTGCTGTTGCTACTCTGGAAAACAGTATAGAGGTTCCTCAAAAAATTAAAAATAGAAATATAATATGATCTAATAATTCTACTATTAGATATTTGTCTAAAGAAAACAAAATAGATCATAATTTAAAAAGATAAAATATAATAACATACCCCTGTTTACTCCAGTTTTATTAAAAACAACTAAGATATAGAAGTAACTAACCCAAATGTCTACTGATAGAGGCGGTATGTGTGAGTGTGTGTGTATGTATGTATGTATATAGACACACGTATAAAAGTAGTCAGCATTGGGAAAACACACACACACACACACACACACAGGGATATCACTGAGCTATAAAGGATTAACTCTTGCTATTTGAGACAACATGAATAGACAGAGGGTACAACACTAAGTGAAAGGAGTTAGGCAGAGAAAGACAGATAGTATATGACTTCACTTATATATGGAATCTTAAAAAAAAAAAAAAAAAAAAAAAGACTCCTAAATCCAGAGAACTGGTTGTTGCTAGAAGGGAGGTCCATAGGGAATGGTTGGAAATAGGTGAAGGGTATTAAGAGGTACAAACTTCCAGTTATAAAATAAATAAATCAGAGATGAAAAGTAGTCAACATAGGAAATACAGTCAATATATTAGTACACAGTGTTGTGTAGTGACAGATAGGGACAACACTAAGAGTGGTAAGCAAGGAGTATTGCATAGAATTGTTGAATTATTACATTGTACACCTGAAACTAATGTAACATTGTATGTTAATTATACTTCAATTTAAAAAATAGAAAAACTGAGACATGTGAAAGAGCTTATTGACAAAATCCTAGTGCTAGTCAAAGTTTTCCAGCAATGTAGCATACACAGTGAAACAGTTAGCATTGAATATCCATAATTTCATATTTAAAATTAGAAGCCAAGTATAAGCGAATACCACCCTCTTAAAATTTAAACAAAGATTTAAAATTACCGCATAGGATATACCCTGTCTTTCCCACAAACCAGAAAATTATTTTGCATATGTGTATTCTAATTGATTTAACACCAAATTCATACTCAGCAGATTTCTTAATCTCTGCAGCACCTCCTCTCCTCTAACTGTTGTCTTCACTCTGGTCCACATAAACCTTTATGTGTAATAACACAATGGTTCTCACACTTTAGCTTGCATCAGAATCACCTGAAGTGTATGTTTTTTTTTTTTTCTTTTAATACAGATGGCTAAACTATTGACAGAACTTCTGATTAAGGGGGTCTGATTAGGACCTAATAATTTGCATTTCTAACAAGTTCCCAGGTGATGCTGATGTTGCTGTTTCAGGCACACATATTGAGAGTCACTGAAATAGAAACCCTTTCCTTTGATTTCCCCCAAATCATTAACATAAAATTTTGTTTGGCATGCTCCATTAAAAATTAGAACAAAAGGAGTTTAAGTTGTATCAGAATGGACAAATTAATATTCTGTATTAACTTTTTGGACTCTAATAGATCTTTGGGCCATATTATAATGAATTTCTCCCCAGCCTATATTCTCCGTGGGCTCCTGTCTCTCCCACTGTATCATGCTAAGCTCTTTTTCTTCTCCTCCTTGCCTTTTGTTGCTTCAGCCAGCACCAAAATTCATAGCTTTTTAGAAAGGGCACTTTAACATTGTTTAGCAACCTCTTTATAAACCATCATTATGGGGATCCAAACTCCTCATTCACAATGGCCTTTCAAGCTATTTGGAAGGATGAGGAAAAGCCTCATAAAAAATGTTGATAACCAGCTGTTTTAACATTTTTCACTTTTCTGTACACAGATGAACGGATCAGATTTGTCCTCTTCAGTTGGAATGCTACTTTTATAATTAATGGCTAAAACGGTAGAAAACTAATACCTGCTTTTCCTTCCTTTGGCTACACAACTCCCAGGTAAGAGAGAAAAATGTATTATTATTTTTTTGACAGTATTACAGTGGTGGCACAAGCAGGTATCAGACTTGTTTCAACTGGGTCACTATGGGATTCATTAGGAGCAACACATTCATAAAAAGAGGACAGAAACAAAAACGTGCAGTCAATTCTGAATATGAATGATCCCTGGGAAGGGTAACCTACAAAATAAGATGAACGATTTACCACTAAACTGAAGACTGGGTAGTGAAGGTTACATGTACAAATACAGTAGGACGTTGGAGCAGACGTGCTCCCTCAGACTGACTGCACTGCACTTGCAGGAAATGAAGAAAGGTCACACTGGAAAATTTGGTGGAAACAAACCATAATCTCACCTCTCAAGTAACACAGCATTTTTATTCTAATTTATGAATGTCTAGGTGCATTGGGAGGTTGATTCCAATTATGTTTACAGCAATTTCACTTTCTTTCTGAAAAAAATATTTTAAATAATCTTATAGAAACTCTTCAAATGTTTTTTTAAGTCCTATTATAGATCTCTGGCCATGTGCCTCTTACCTGTGTATACCAGGGTTCCTCAGGGGAAGGAGAGAATGTACTCTTGCAGAAGTTCTGAGGCTGGCAGCAAACATGACATTCCTTTAAAATGCTATTTTATTTCTTAAATTTTCATAGTAGTTTAGCATTCTGCCATATGTATTTTATTTTTGCTTAATATCAAGTTACACAGAAAAAGAGACAAGTTTGCTCTTACCTGAACATCCATCTTGAAATGGTATTGTATCCAAAGACGTGCCTCCCTGTCAGTCCATGTAATGGAAAAATAAGTATTTATTGATCTCTCTCAGAGAATGCCAAATAAATATCCCAGCCATGTCACATAAACAAATTCGCTGAACTAAGCTCTCTCCCACTTTCTGTAGTTGGCCCCAGAATCCTCTTCTCTCCTCCCACCAAGCGTATATATTCACTGAAGTTAATTACCCAAGAACATTTACCTGACTTGCAGCTCACAAAAGAGATCATGCAATGCCCAGCTGTTCTTCCTTTTGAAGAATCTGCATTTTAACACTATAGGGACAATATAAATTTTGAGACTGGATTTGTGTCTTATTTATCATTGTTATTATCTTGCAAATGCAGTGATTATATTTGGATTCAACATTTCTTAATTTTAATCCTGGATGTCCCACTTGCTAAGTGTGTAATTTTTGATAAATCTCATAATTTCTTGAAACCTTCTGTTTACTCTTATGTGAAGATAGTATTAATGTAACAGGACTCTCAAATTAGCTAATAAATATGAAAATATGTGTAAGGTAAATAGTAAATATTTTACAATTATTTCTGAATATTATATAACAATGCAAGGACAATCACATAAATATGAAAGTATCCATACTTCATATGGATACTTTCATGGATACTTTCATATTTATCAATGTATCTTCTAAAGTATGGTAGAGATTAATGGAATTTTAAGAGTACAGTCTTCATATAAAAAAGAAACTTCACATAATATATGAATGACAGTAACAGTCACATTTGAGTAGTGATGCCTATTCTTACATGAGGAAAAATAAATAGCATTTTACATTATAGCTGCAATTTTTTACATTTTACAAATTTTTTACATTTTACAATTTTTACAATGCAATTTTACATTATATCTGCAATTTTTCATAATTTTAAAATATTTATAATCCTTATAGAATTAAGTAAGACTAATTGACTGTCAGAAGGCAAAATAACTAGGTTAGGATATTTTAAAAACATATATTGAGTTCATTGTTTTTATTCTTTAATTTAAAAAAATTTTTTTTTGAGATCGTTGTTTTTAAATCCATGTAATTTCAAAAATTTCTTCTACTGACTGCTGATTCTACTTTACCTACCAGCTTGTTGATCAAGAGCCATTTTCTTCCCCTCAAGCTTTATCATGCACTGGAATCATCTGGAGGGATTTTTGAGCTACAGATCTGTGGGCCCTACTGGGCATTTCTGATTCAATACATCTGTGTTGAATTAATAACAAGTTCCCAGTGTTATTGCTACTGCTGTTGGTTTGGGAAGTATACTTTGAGGACCACTGATATGAAGGCTAACATATCTACAATGATGGAGCAAAGCACAAAGGAATGGCTATTGAATGCTGTGAAAAAGCTCAGTATATATGTACTGTACTCTTAGACATGATGTAGTGTGTCTTGCTTATTCCTCTCAACAACACTATATATATATAGATATATATGTATATGTACAAAATGTATACATATATGTATGTATACATATATATGTATACATATACACATATGCATATATGTATACATATACATACACACATGTGCATATGTATATATATGTGTGTATATGTGTATTTATATATACATGTATATTGTATATATGTATGGAGATATATGTATATGTATATACATAATTATTTGAAGAACAAGGTTTACTTTATATATATATAAATTATACATATAAATACTTATTTTCAAGAAGTACAGTTTACTTTCACTATACACTATTCCTTGTTAAAATCAGAACCAATTTATAAGCTGCTGAGATTTCTAGGGGGGAAAAAAAGCAAATGATGGTTTTGCTTTTGCCCTCCTCTTTTAAAAAATCTTGTTTTCTCTGTTTACACACTGGTTTTATACATAAGCACCTTAGAGCTCAAGAACACTATTATTTTAAGCTTATACTTTTGTGAGTTGTAAGTTGGGATACAGAAGCAGCTACTAAAACAGAGAGGCCCCAAAGTACAGTGGTTAAATAGACCGGAAGCCTGTGTCTCCCTCACTTTAGAATCTAAATGTAGGCAGGCAGGCTCTTGTTTCTGGGCTAGCCAGCTCTGCACAAAAAAATTACTTTCATTTTTGCAACTAAGTTGCATTTGAATTTGTGGTTCTTGGGACAGAAGAGGAAAAAGTGGATTCTGAACACATGACTTGTCTTTAGGTTGAAAATGAACAAGAAATTATACAAATAACTTCTGTTTATATCCTGCTGGCAAAAATTTAGTTACAAAGACATACCTGACTGCAAGAGTGGCTGGGAGTGTGGGAAGGGAAGAGAAGGGAGAGTTCACTCCTAAAAGGACAAAGGTGAGAATGGATCCTGGGAGCACAGGAGACAGATTAACAGTATCTACTACAGGTGGGAGTATACCGGGGGAAATAAAGCTGTTCCAACTTTAGTGGAAATAAAAGGCCTTGAGTAGATGTAATGTATTTTTTAAAGAATTTCTAAAAGAGGCAACTTGCCTACAGAGGATTGCAGAGGGTGATGGGTATTGAGGAGGGCACATGTTGTGATGAGCACTGGGTGTTATACTTGGTTAATGAATCATTGAACAGTACATCAAAAACTATGCACTATACAGAGGCTAACTGAACACAATAAAAAAAATATCGACACTCCAAAAAAAAAAAAAAAAAAGAAAGAAATTCTAAAGGGAGCACCCAAATTTAAATGCAGAATGCTGATCAGCAACATGAAAATATATGAAAAATAAAGCATTCTGGTAAAGGCAAATATGTAATTAAATTCAAAAGAGTCTAAAAAATAATAATAAATTTAACATACCAGAGATGAATTAATGGGCCAATTTATTTTTGAGGAAAACAACTTAATTTTCGAAAGGACAGAGCAAGATCCTTTTCTTTTCCTGGGTGATATGTTATTGTGTATGGCTATGTGTTTAGGAGATAAAAGAAGATAATACTGTTACTATTATGTAGTATTTTCCATTTCATTTATGACATAATATAATTCATATATCTAGTAACAAAGAGAAAATCTCTTATTGTTTCATTATTGATAATTAGAAATGGACACTGCAGCAGACTTTTAAAGACCTCCCCCCACTTTTTCTTATTTATTATGTGTTTCAATCTGGGCTAGGAGACCTAGGTGAAAGCAAGCATTGTTGCTGTTCTAGTTCCTTTATGTAAAACAGTCTAATCACTTTTATTTTTGCTTAAACAAAACAGTCTAATCACTTTTATTTTTGCTTAAACAAATGTCTTACTCAAAAGTTACTTTTATTTCCTCTCTCTACTCTGTTTCTTCAGTTTTCTTCAGTCTGAGCTTTCAATCTTGTTCTTCTGAAAAGATGAGAACATTTGAAAGTAAAATAAAGAAACCTATTGCCATTATGTTTTGCTAAAGCAATGTAAGATGGTATTTACAAGCACACCGGCCTCTTTTCCAAGGAATTATGTTAATGGAACAAATGCTTAAAATATACAGTCTGTTCTAGAAGACATTTGGTTGTAAGAGTAGTAATGAATATCTGAGTATGTGATTTGTTCTGAGAAAGTCATAGGACGTTTACATACCAAAATAATAAACACTTGTCTCAACTGAACTTTTATGACTTTGTGCAACTGTGGGACGTAGATCAGCTCTTTCCAGGTGTATAAACTTCCTACTGTGAAATCTGACACTTTATATAGTGCTCTAACACCTATAAACTCCAAAGGTAGTGAGTTTTCTGTACTTTTGTACAATACTCCATTGGCAAGATCCTGTTCCATGTATGTGAAAAGATGAGATGAAAGTTGGAACACTAAGACAAAGTTTAATTTACATCATACTCTGGGTTGTATGACAGATTGGAGGCAGTGTTGTGATATATATTTTATCACATAAAAAACTGGAAAGCTGACTACAGCAACTATAATGGCATTGCCCTGCTCTCCATCACTGGCAAAATTCTGGCTGAACGCCTTCTGCAGAAACTCAGAAAGCAACATGAACCATTCCCTTTCAAATCATTGTAATAGTTTTAAACCCTAACCCAGCTCAGTGGACATTATCTTTGCAGCTGCATTTACTTAGGGAAGAAACTCAAGTAAATGGCCAACTCAAGTACATATGTGTTACCCTTAGAAAACTAAGTTGGCAAAAATTTATTTTTAAATCTAGATATAGGAAAGATGATGGACAGCCAGTCACTCAGAACAAGAAAAAGTATTGATTTTGGTAATGTGGCAAAATATCATGAGTTACACAAAATTAATTACAGCTCACATTCAAGCATATAGCATATCTATAACAATGATCACTTCTAATTAAGTGAAAGGAAAGACTGTATTTATCTAATTAATCAACAAACCTCAAATACACGGTGGGGACAAAGATGAAGCCAAGTTTTTCAGATTAAAGAATGGATTATTATTCATTATGATGACCGAATAATCTCATGTCTGTTGTAACTATAAATCAATTCTTCTAAACCTAAAATTTTTCTTTTAAAATATCCGGTTTTACAGGTGTCTACAAAAACAAGGTAGTTGAGTTATCTGTTTTAAAGATAATTTAATTTATAAAATTAAGAATATTGTTCCAACTATGAAAATTATATGGTTTGAAGAGATTTTAAACAACTATTGTTTCTAATAATATAATATTGCCCAAAGTAACAACTGTCTACATTATAAAGGACTCAACAGGAAAAGATGGTTAAAATGCAAAACTGAGATAAGCAAGGGAAACATTTAATGGTATTGCATAAGAAAGTCATGGGATTAATAGTTCTATGTAATAGATTATCTGTTTTTTAATATATAACTCATATCCAATCTAGAATGTATTCCTTGATCAAAAGGCACCAGGGAATACCCTCTTCAAGTTTGTTGCAACATATGAAGGTGAAGAAGAAGAAAAAAAAAAAAAAACAACAGAGACAGGAGGGAAGAGAGCCAGAGGAGGCAGAGGAAAAGGAGGCAGAGGAGGCAAAAGAGGAGGAGGAGGATAAGAAGAATTAAAGAAAACAGAGGATAAACATTAGAGAAATACCAAAGACCAGAGTCATAGAAATATAAATAAATGAATAAATTAATGAAATAATGAATAAATAAGCAAATAAATTTTGAGAAGCAAGAGGCAATAAATGCCTAGATTTGCTTGATCCTGGGAAGTGAAATCTCTTTAATAATATGTATAATAAGAAGTTTGAAACAATTTTGAATTATTGCCTTGGGAAGGCAGTCTCCTCACAGGAAGAATGGTGGTATCAGATCTAGGCATCTATTAAAATATAGCAAATTGCTATCTGATCCAAGTAATAAAAGCAAATGCTTAAAGTCATTAATATTTTGTGAGCATTTTCCATGTTTTAGTCTTTGGGATGAATGCTTTAAAAGTATTACTTGCTTAGTTCTCATAAAATCATATGAGGTAGGAAACTGTATAGAAGTAATACAGAATGAGGCAAGGTTCAGTAAAAATGGACTAGACTTTAGTGATGATTGAGCTGAAATCTTGTGGTTGAACAGCAGTTATAGAATGAAAATTGTTGAGCAGTTTTTACCGAGGGAACTAATGCAGTATACGCAAAGGTCCTGTGGTCATAGGAAGCATGTTTTCCCAAGGCACTATAAGAAAACCATTTGTGTGAAATAAATTTATGTAAGGAAAGAATGATGTGTGAGCATAGAAGAATATTGTTAAAGACTATAGAAACTTTAATAGTCTCTGTCCTTAAAATCTTGTCATGTTACTGGAATGCAACATAAACAAATCAAGTTTTATTCTAGTTCATTATTTGTGCCCCTTTTCATGCCACAAGAAAATAAACCTCACTAAAATAAATCTTTCTTAAGATTATCTCATAGATTTATAGATTTACTTAATAGCCTTAATGGTTATTTTTCAGTTCCTACCTTATTAAAATATAATTATTTCTGTTTTTAGCTAATTCATGTGAGCTTTTTCTTCCATATTTGGATCTTCACCCTCTAACCTTTGACTCTGTCTTTCTGATTTGTGTACATTGCACAGCTGAGCTTTACTCCTCTTTTCTTTTTAATGAACCTTCTGGCCCATGAAATCATTAGCATTAATATGTCTGGCATTTACATTTATATTCATAAAATAGCACTTATCCAGACAACAAGGATTTTTCACCAAGTAAAATTACATTTGGAGAGAACTAATGACTCATTTGTGTTGAACTTGCAAGGTAAGTGATATATTAGAAGATAATTTTAAGTGGAAAACATGGCATGGGGAAAGAGAATGAGAGTGGCTATAATCAAACTGTGGGAGAATAAGGGAAATAGCAGGGATTATAAGTGAGTAAGAGAAAGTATGGAGCACAGTGAAGAGGAAATGATAAACAAAAATGATTATATTTGTTGGTATTTGGGTGTGATTAGAGATGAGGGACTGAGATATGTATCTCTGACAAACCCTCAGGTGATGCTCATGCTGTTGGTCAGTGGACCACATTTTGAGTAGGGGAGCAATAGTGCATCATGATGGCATCAAAATGGAATGACATCCACAGCTCTATTTTGCCCTCTGGGTTAAAAGAAGACAGACATGAATAGAATTTTGACCAGTATCACTCTGTCTTTAGGATCACGGGGCAATGAAGAGAATATAGGAACAAGTGGACCACAAGCAGTATTGCTGACACTCATTCCATCTGCTTACATGAAAGAACCAAGTACACAATCAAAGCTCAGAGGTTTGAGGTTCTTTCACAACATCAGTACTTGGTAATATCTTCCCCTTCTGAACCAAATGAAAGCACAGGTCAATTCCTTGTCTATCCCATAGGAGACAACCATGCAATCTTTTTTTTTTTTTTTTTTTTAAGATTTTATTTATTTATTTGACAGACAGAGATCACAAATAGGCAGAGAGGCAGGCAGCGAGAGATGGGGAAGCAGGCTCCCTGCTGAGCAGAGATCCCAATGCAGGGCTCCATCATAGGACCCTGAGATCATGATCTGAGCTGAAGGTAGAGGCTTAACCCACTGAGCCACCCAGGCACCATGACAAGCATGCAATCTTATTTATTCTTCAAATCCAACTTAAATTACATCCCTGTGGCCTAGACTGATCTTTTCCTTTCTTACATTTTCTTGCATATATTGTACATATCACATATTTAAGTACCAGTTGCTACAGTATCTTTTATTATCTTTCCCTTGCTTCCATCATCTCTTCTCCACAGGTTGATTATAAACTTGGTGAGGAACAAGTCATAGCCTTCTTTTGTTTTACCTCGTAACAACGAATATGATGCTTGTGGGACCTCACACTGGATTAGGTCGGAATCAATACCCTCTGATAACTAGAGTAAGAAACTTGAGTGAGAAACTTCTGGGTTTCTTATTCAAATATTTTGGTATAATCTTTAAAAAATGTATTTTTAACTATTTTATGGAACAAAAATGGTTATTGTCTTTCCCACTTGAATATAGAAGCCCATAAACAGGGATATCTAGGAAAAGGATATTTTCATAACAAAGCATGTTTCCACAGTCAAAAAGGGTTAAACTTATTTCAATTTATGTAATTTGAATTTATTTATTTATTTTTAAGTTTTTATTTATTTATTTGACAGACCGAGATCACAAGTAGACAGGCAGGCAGAGAGGTGGGGGCGGGGGGGAAGCAGGCTCCATGTTGAGCAGAGAGCCCGATGCGGAACTCGATCCCAGGACCCTGAGATCATGACCTGAGCTGAAGGCAGCAGCTTAACCCACTGAGCCACCCAGACGCCCTGTAATTTGAATTTAATCCATCTCCATCTTTCCAAGCTTCATCCAAATATACCTAGTTGATATGTTATGTTAAAATAATTGATAAATGTCTTTATTAAACTTTTTAAAGATTTATTTATTTATTTTCAGGAGAGCATGTGTAAGTCAGGGTAGGGGTATGGGGAGAGAATCTCCAGCAGACTCCACGCTGAGCACAGAGCCCAGGCTCAATTGCATGACCCATGGAATCATGGCCTGAACTGAAATCACAAGTCAGACACTTAACCCAGTGAGCCACCCAGGAATCCCCTTTTTTAAACTAAATATAGTTTTAAATTAAATATAAATTGCTTTAATAAAAACTGAAGTATAATATAAATACAGAAAATAGAATAAATTACATTTACAGCTTGATGAGTTACCATAAAGTGAATACAACCTAACTACCCAGTTCTGGTAAAAGAGAATTACAATACAGAAGTTGCCCTCAGTTGCCCAAACTGTTACTATTACACCCTCTTCTGAGGTAAGCACCATCATGTAATAAATTGGTTTTGCAATTTTTATTTTTTAAACTTTATATACATGGATTTTTTAAAAATCTGGATTCTTTTTCTCATCATTATATTTAAATAGTTTTATATTTAAATATAGTTTTTTAAAACTATGCTTGACATAACAATGTTGCATAAATAAAAACATTTTAACAGCAAAAGGAAAGTTGGTCATATTCCTTACCAAAGTAATAAATTTTTAAATTTTTATTTCATATTTATTATGTCTCAATACTTCGTTTTATAAAATCATTTTTAATATATTTTATTAATACAATGAATAATTTGTCAAAAGTGATGATATAAAGTGTTTGTCATCTATAGATAGATATGTTTACAAATGTTAGGTTTTCCCTTTAAATTGCTGTAAAGGTTTAAAACAAAGGTAAAACCAACTATTGGTCAACTTGTTCAAGGATTGTCAGTTATGCATTGCTATCATACAAAAATTAAAGCAATCATATTCATTATTCTATTTTTCATATGTACACAACTCCTGAAGGAATACTGAAAAGAGCAAACATTATCACTGCATTTAGGGAAAAAAGAGATATTATTCAGCTTCATTGTTCACTTCCTAATAGCTCACACATTACTTTAAAGTACTTGCATACATGCTGAACAGCAAAGTGTAATAGTTCCTGGTTTACATCTCAGGCAGGTTAATAGGTCTTCAGACTTCATTTAGCACCACATTTTCAGACCATCATAAGTTTTAAACTTACTTCCATGCTGACAGTTTAATGTTCGAATAAGCAAGGAGTTACCTCACTTTTAACTTCTAAACCCTAGGACCTCTCTCTTAAAGCTATAAAATTGACATTTCAGCATGAATATTTTTTTTTCATGATGTTTCTTTCAAACGTGCACATGTTACAATGTCTAAAACAGCTGTCCATGTTTACATTAAAAGTCTTTCAAAATATTTTTTTTTCCTTTAGGATGCCATTTGTGCAGAAAGGAAAATAAGCAAATCAACTGTTTTCTTCCCATCCTTCCTTCCCTCTCTTTCTCTTTCCTTCCTCCTTTTCTTCTCTCTTTCTTTCTGATTTCTTTTTCTTTCCCTTTTCCTTTTTTCCTACTTTTTTTTCTCCTCTAAAGTACTTCAGAGTAACTCTAGTGATTATTCAAGTAGAGTGAGGAATGCCAGCAGATTAAATCTGCACTCTGCCTTTAATTCTTGTCAGGATTTCACATGCATATATCAGAAGTGAAATGTTCTACTATATATCATGCTTAACCAGCTAGAGGTCAAAGAACTAAATCACTGTATTCATGAAAGTAAAATGTTGTGTTTTCCAATTGCCTTCACTTTGGGAGGCTCTCACTTCCAATTACCAAAGTGACCTTCAAATTTGATATTGACCACTTTACAGTAAAATTTATTACAATTGTGACATTATAATACAAAATAAAAAATGACATGGGTAAAATAGCTTTAAACATGGTGGTAACTTTTTTTAGACTCTAGTAATTTTATACTCAATTTTCTGCTTGGCTTTCTTTTTCCTAATTCTTTATATTGTTTTTGCCAATAGACTGTCTACATACTCTTTATAAGATTATATCACTGTTTACTTGTATAAACTTTTTAGGTTCTTAAATCATGAA